ATATTTCACGCAATGAAGACGTACTCGAAAAACTTCGTAATTCCAAGGTAAAGAATGTTATCATTGATGCATAATACATTTTCATGCGTGAACAGTTGTTATATCGTCATCTTCCATTGTCAAAAGAGGGTCATCTTGATCATGATGATTATCTTGTGGTAAATGTAAATATCTTGGAGCTGATGAACTATGACCACCTGCGCTACCAAACGCAGACCTTTTCCTGCAACGAATTTTAAAATTGTTATTTTGTATGCGGCACAATATCTTACTATAAAGGATAGTAACGACGACTCGAAGATTGCGCTGACATGGGCGTGAGACGGGAAGATAGACATGGAGTCGAGGGCAATTGTAATTCAGTTTTAACTGCAAAAGGATGTAATAAACTTGAATTTATTTATTTATATGGTGTACACTATTTACGTAACGTATTTATATACTTTAATATTAAATTTATTTTTATATTGTGCAGACTATTTACGTAACGCATTTATATACTTTTATATTTCCCACTAGGGAAGATGGGGATAAGTAAGTAAGTATATGATGCAAACTATTTACGTAACGTAGCTATTTTACTTACTTGTATATGATGTAGACAACGACTGCCAGACCAACAATCACAAGGACGACAACAATAGGCACCACGACTTTCACTGTATCGTTAGTGCTTTTACGAGCTTTTGCTGGTGGCGGATTGATTGGTTTTCTTGTCATCACGACATTGTATCCTCCAAGTTTGTTGCCCTGTTTTGACGCCATTGTAGCGATGTCGYTACGAGAAACAACACCATGACTGTTCATGACTGGAAGGAGTACGATAAATTTAAGATTCATATCATCTTGGAATTTCGTAGGCCATCCGTCAAGAATCACAATGTCTTCATATTCAAATTTGCTTCCATTTCTGATAGTAAAAAAGAAGGTACATGAATAATTGCTATAGTAGRACCCCGGTTATTCGGCCACTGATGGGGAAAAAATGCCGTATAAACGGGATGGCCGCATTAAGAGGACGTGGCCGTAATGAGGTGTTCCACCTTGCTGGAATGGTTGGTGTTAGTCGGACTAGGTCAAAATTACAACACTGYCATTGTTTGTTTTGTCATCGCGAGGGTTGMCCCTTTTTCTACAACTATCATACTACAATAGATTAAGTGAACACAGGAAATATATAGCTGAATGGGTCTAATTCGGATAAACAACTAGATCAAACTATACTCACACAATGTTCGGGCACGTTATCGACGATGTACAGTATTTATTAAGCTGAATTACCAAATTTGATTTGAAGTCATCTGGGTTCCACTGTGGAAAAAAAGGAAGCGAATTTTAGGCTAGCTTTTAATTTACTATGCTTTCTTGGATACACTCAGAAATACCTTGGACCAGGATAGCTTTGGAAATCTTGCTTCTGAGACTTCATTACCTAAAAAAACAAAGAAAGAAAGAAAGAAAAAAATGGATTTGTGAAGAGTTTATCGGTGAAAATTTTAATAAAAGTTTTGATTGGCGGACAATTACATCAGTACACTGAAAATACTAGAAGACTGGAGGACATATAACCACATTCAGTGTTCTATACAAACACCCATTGAACTAATTCCAACTATGTTGGGCTTTCTGTTTTGAGGAGTCTAGTCCACCATTCCGATAAAAACACAAGAAACCCAATGTGTACATGACAAATCTGTACCTTCTGTTGCATCACACAATTTGCTTTGTACGTCTGAAATACTAAGTCCAAGTCTACATATACAGAAGCCGCCATGTTTGATAGTCTTGTAGCAAGTGCCTGGACATTGATTACAATTGTTGGTTCCTGGAATTGTCAAAAACAACATTCTTATAAGTGCGACAGCGAAGGCTTGTAACAAATTCACTCGCAATATGAAATACCTGGCGTGTTAGTAGGTTTGACGACTGAAACATAATCAAGGAAATCGTATTTTAGTCATTTAATATACACTAAGTCGTTCCATACGAAAAATGGCGGACCATTTACAGAAGAATTATTGTACACTTGCTATARCCTCTTAGCTGCGATAGAAAAGATCTTTCCGTGGATGAATAGCTAATTCGGTTCGGAAATATTGTTATTTTTTATCAATTGTTCTATAATACTGGTCCTCACAACAAACAACTCACACAGAAACTTACCAGGTCCGCTACAGACAATCGTGACGTCATTGTCATGTGTACATTTRTGGTTTCCAGCATTTAAGGGGTAATAGTTACACAAGCCAAGTACAGCCTCATCGCCTTTGCATCTAAAACCTGCCACGATGGGATTGATACTAGTAGAGGGCTTCTTCAGCTTTAAAGTGTAGTTGACTTTGGTTGAAACGACATTGCTGAAGCCCAGGTTTCTACAAGCTACTTTAGCGGCGTTTATCTCCCATTCAATATTACAGACAGTTCCCCAGACTCCAAGGCTACGGATTTCTATTCTTCCTTCCATGGACGTTTTACCTCCAGCCAAACGAATGTCTAATGTGAAAACGTGTTAAAGAAAYTAAATTACTAGAGATACATGCGAAGAGATCGACTGTGCAGGATTTAAACACTACGGAAAAATATGAAAAGCTTTAGTAATTAAATAGTGCTGAAATTGTACTGAATTATATGGTTTCCTTGCGTGTTTTTTGATGTTCTATCTAATCGAACACCACATTTTGCTATTTCTATTTTTAGTTTTTTTTAGCGCTCTAAGTGTTTGCAGGACATTTWGACAGGTCTAACGTACCATAACATTCTGCGCTTGCGTCGTTCTTATGTAAGTTCCAGTGCCACCACCAATGCGGTTTCCACTGTATTTGGTGTTGCGTCATGTTACACTTCCAGAGTTCAGTTTCATTTCCTAGGCATTTCACCTGCGAGAACCATATTGGGCCTTTTCCTTGGCCATARTGAGCCGAGCTGTACGCAGACGTTGCGCCTCCAAAACCTAGCTGACGGCAGAAGACCGTCGCATCGTAGATATCCCAGCCATAGTCCATGATAGTACCCCATATCCCTCCAATTTTGACTTCTACACGACCCTCAAAGTCATTATCTGTTGCAGCAAGTCGTACTATGATTAAGGAAAAGACATTTCAATCTTGTTTCATTAAAGACCAAGAAAAAAAAGAGCAAAACGAATCAGTTTCCAACTTCACGCAAGACATCAGCACGTTTTTTCTTGTAGTTTTGGCAACTGTTTACTTAGAAAGACCGACGCAGATGACTGCATGAATTAGCGAGTTTCAAAGACGGACACTAGTAAACACGACTACAGGAAGCAATCCTACGAAAGTACGACTATCTGCTCTACAGTAGATAGAAGAGAAGACTCCCAAATCTAATGAAACAAACGAATCTATAGCTAACTGAATCTGACTGGATGTGATTGTCACTATCGTTATTTCCTCTCTACTCTGACGAAAGATTAACGTCCGAAACGTCAGTAAGTTATTTCACACACTTTTTTTTACGGTGTTAAATTCATCTTTTTACACAACTGTTTCTTTAGAAAACGCAGCTCACACTAGTTTACCGCTAGTTCCCACCATTTTACTATCGTTTTTTGACTTACTGTCTCGGAGTGTCTTGTTTGTCTTGCATATGACTCCAACGTCACGGCTGTGTTGGCAAGCTGTCTTACCCCATCCTTTATGAGGGCACATTGTTAGCGCTGGCTCCCGTCCCTCACAGTGTAGATTATCCAACCAAATCATTCCTTTGCCAGAACCAAATAAACAACAAGGAACAAGCGTCTCAACGTCCAAGTAACCTAACTGTCTGCAAACTACTTTAGCAGCAGGAAGATGAAAGTGTGTACCACAGACAGTTCCCCATCTGCCCTTATGGAGGACCTCGATTCGTCCCGCAGATGACACGTTGCCGTTGACAAGACGAACAGCTAAAAATATTGTAAAATATATATGATATGCATTTTTGGATTCGTAACAATAATAACAATGATGATGATAACAATGATGGTATCGATGTTGCTGATGATACTGAGAAATAAGGGTAAACAACATATTGATTACATACAAACAACGATAAGACATACGTACACTGTTGAATTCATTTGAATAAAGCGCAAACAGTGCTACTTGCACATCAGAGAAACTTTGAAAAGGATGGAGCAAATGACGTAATTTACTCCAACATTTTTGGCCCAAATTATTAAGGATTTGTATCAATACCTTCTTGAAATCTGTTGATTCATGATTATTAGACCCATATGGATACTAGGTCTATTTGATTTCCAAGTCTTTTCTAATGTTTCGCAATTTTCGTCCAGGTAGCCTTTTGAGCAAGCGCAGACGAAGAAGGAAGCGATACAATAAATGAAGCATTTTTCAATTATTCTGTATCTTTTGAACAGCTTCTTTCGTCGCTTCCATCTCATTTAATTTTCATATGGAAGCAATAAGCGCTATCCTTCTMCATTTCCTTCACCGTCTCTGATTACTTAACATACCAGGCTTACACCCGTGACATAAAAAACAGATTTGTTATTAAAAATGTTTTCATATGTTTCCTGTGATATTGTGACTATAGATACTCGTGTCTTACTTGATGTAATATTAGATAGGTCAATGGGTTCAGGTTTAGCGTCTTTAGGTGCCAAGGTACACTTGGTCTTTTGTGGTGTGACGTCATCTATGGCAATATCCCCTGTGTAACTAACACCGACAAGTCCCTCGAAGACTACCTAGAATTAATGCATACTGATGAAGTCTTGGAAATGTTAAAAATCAGTGTAGCTTTGCATACATAGTGTCGTACACTTGCATTGCCGTATACCTATATTGACACATACCTCATATCTCTGCATGGGCGTATCCAGGGGGGGGTGGTCACAGGGTGTCCGTGGCCCCCCTTTCAAAGCCCAAAAAGCATAAAAACCATAAATGATATGACATCATGTTGACGTCATATGACGCCACAGTGACAATTTGGCATGTAAGGGCCCCCTCCCCATGAAAATCCTGGATACGCCCATGATTTGGTGTCGATGTTGGGTTGGGTGCATTAACTGTTCTCAATGTAGATATAGCTTTCGTCCATATCCGTTCAACGGAATGTATCCCCCTCACACAAAAGAAAGTTTGCAGATTCAATGATATCAAGATGCGAGTGGACGGAGCTTGACCAACAATCTTGATTGGCGTATTACCCTTAGACTTACAAGGAACTACTGGTATTCGCATATAACGACTTGTATTTGGAATAGAAATACGTCATGAAAACATATAAGTGCTGCAAGGCCTTGCCACTACCTACCTGGATTGACCCTGTATACTTGTCAGCGACAGGGACATGGGCCTGAGTCCATGTTCGGTTTTCGCTTCTTTTCTGCCAAACTATTTCTCTTCGTAATCCATCATCGATATAAACGCTCAGCTCGTTGACTGTTTTGCCTTTCATTATATAGTAAAACTCGATACATTTTGCACCCGTAAAAGGGGGAGTAGCAACTCGAGCCATTTCGCCTTGGACACGAGGATAAGAGGTCTCAATGTAGATGTAACTCCCTGTAGATATGAAAGGAAAAACACTGATAGACCAGGAAAATGAGTTGATCATTCATCCGTATATTGAATTTTTCTTTCACGATAAATTCAATTTTACTTCAATCGATAGTTTTTTCAGCTATCGTTCATTTATTAAAATCTTCAAACATTTATCAACTCAGTTTAATTTATCACTCAAGAAGATAACAATGAAATGCCTGGGAAGACACAACATCAAAAACACCTTTTCGGTTTCGAGTGTGCAAATGGGAAAAAACGTGGTCGACACATTTCCCCCGTCATTCATAAATCTTTAATTTATGTTTATTCATTTGATTCTATATCTATCCATTTATTCACTTATATTCTCATTCATTCATACCATTTCCAGTAGTATGGTCGTGTGCTGGGCCCGTGTTGTAAGACGCCGTTTTCCCGGATTGTCTCCTCCAATCAAAATCATCGTCTTTCAAATTAGTATATCCACACCAATCAAGATCAAACGAGCAGCCACCCGGTGGGACTGGAAAACAGAAATTAATGGTCCTTATGACGTCATATATCAGTTTAGGCGAAGTACATGTTGGTATTGATAAAAATATCAAAATGGCGAGGGTGCCTTTATATAAACTACTTGAGGCTTTAGTGCAACAGTGTGTCAATTGGGGAAAGTACCATTGAATCGCAGAAACGCCACATGTATTATGCTATCGACGTTTTTATCTACATTATAAGACATAAGATTAGATAAATAGACGAAATAGGTAAAAACTCACTTTTGCTTGGATGCATACAAGCAACACCAACATCTTCATCATGTGTGCAGTAATTATGATTCCACCCTTTGGTGTTACATTCCAATATTTTGCTCTCATTGCCATAGCATCGCAAGCGATCAAGATGTATAGGGCCTGTTCCCTTTCCAAAGTCTGCTGCCATGTAGACCTCTAGTGCTGCTCCCCAACCAAGCTGTTTACATACAACATTAGCGTAATTGATGTCCCAGTAATCGTCGCAAATTGTCCCCCAAGTCTTATTATGGAAAATTTCCACACGACCTTGCCATTTATCCTTCGAACCAACAAGGCGAATGTCTCCCTCTTTCTGAGCCAGTACTGGAGTAGAAAATAGTGATAATTAGCTTAACATTACTTTAAAAAGCATGCGCAGTCGAACGATAACCGACATTTCGTGTTTTGGCTCCGTTTTTGCCCGTATTAATCAAAAAGTCGGAACTTTATCGAGTAGTTTTCGACAATCCTACCAAAAAACACCTGGCGGATGTCGGAGTTTTGAATTCTGGAGGATTCTCAAGAGCAGTATCGGTGAAGTTATAAGTGACAATGATAGGCGATTTCAAATATCTTTAAAAAAATCATTTCCTTCTGACATTTAGCCTGCGTACATCCGATTTATTTTCAAAATTAACCGTGTTTACGGGTAAACGCTGGATGAACTCAGGCTATCTGACAGTTTGATGTTGTAAAAATGCAAAACTAGAGATTGGACTCCCCCTTTTAACCGGCGTGCGCGCGATGCATCAGAGAAACGGCGGAGGAATCGTACGGCATTTRCGAAAAACTGCCAAAAAATAATAAAATAATTTACTCACCAGATATTTCAGTGAAGAAAAGAACACAGACGAGGCAACTTAGGGAAGCTAGCCTTGCCGTGAACATTTTCTATCTAGATGAAAAAAAGKTTTTTTTAGGAGGTGGAGGAGAAATTATTGTGTGTATTATATAGAGGATATAACATGGGCGCGTTAAGATATAGCTTTTATCTTCGAGTGTTGAAAAGAKCTCTCACGAGTGGATAAAATTCGTATCTCCAAGCGACCATCCAATATTCTGTGTATCATATAAATTAATGATAATTATATGATAATACTGATTACGCATGTATGCGGCCAGAAATGTCTAAAATAAGGGCGATTTTCCAAGTGCAGCCCCATGTAAACAAATAAACAAAGAAAAGAATGAGGACTGGGTTCTAAGGACACAGGAAACTTAAAGAACACGAAAAACGAAAGTGCACTAAGTGTTTTCAATACAAACAAAAGTCATTCTGGTCACGAGCRGGGTTCCAACCGTGACATAGAGTAAACATGATAAATAATTGTTCATCTGGCTAGATTAATGTATATTATATATATATCCCTCTACTAGTATTTGTACATAACTCGCGATCTCTTTTACGCTGTGTTAGCCTCAATTGTGATTGTGTGCTAAAATATTCAGAAATGTAGATAAAACTCGTGAGATTTCAAACTATTTCCATTGTCTTCTATACTCACAGATCTCTTGCATTTGCACGAGCTGTTGTGAATAAAATAATTCATTACATGGTTTTGAGGCTAACACAGCGTAAAAGAGATCGCTAAAAGGGTTTACTCTTGAACTGTCATTGCAGCTTATAATGCAAATTTTAAAATAATATGAAAGAGCTATTTTGATCTTAAACGATTAATCTAAAATTCAACTTCTTTTGTAAATATCTACCCTCTGGGAATATGAATAATTAACTTTATAACATCAAACCGAACTTTTGGACTTGAATTCAGGTTGTGCAACACAGAATTCCGCTTACAGCGAACAAAAAGTTCAAAAGGGAAACAAAATGTTACGTCTAGMTTAGTGGCAATCACTTAGAAACCATTAACAATTCGTCTTTCTGTCAGTGATGCATGTGCAGTGCTTTTGTTCATGTAGCAATTCCTGTCTTGTGACTCGAGGTTGATGAATATTCGACTTAAAAAAAACTTGTTGTCCAAAAGTATCTCAGATCGAAGCTAGTATACAACAAGAGAATTTACAATTTAAAGCTACGGCGTTGCATTTTGTAAAAATTAATTTTCAAGAGGACATTCAAATGTCAGAATTATGTAATGTCTTCAGTGTAACTTATTCCCCACATACAAACTTTATTACGTGTGTGTTCAATTCAACGCATAAAAGACTTCTGATTTTACATCTTCTATTGTTGATGAAAGCTGGTTGATAATAATGCTTTAATACTCTCGCGAAATTCAAGCTATGTTGACATCAGGCCCGTCAGAAAATATAATTATGGTCCCCCCGCAAGTAAAACATTGGCTTATGAACAAATTAAATACAAAACTACAAAAAGACTTCGACCAACATAAAGTGTGACCATATTTAAGGCATCAACATGTGCAGTTGTATAATTAATCGTGGTATCAAACTTCTTTTCTAAATTTTCGTAACACTAATGCCGAAAGACGAATTTTTTGAGCATCTGGTTCGAAATGAGCAAAAGCTGTAGTTTCGAAGTGTCGACAATCGATGCCTCGATACGAAGCGAGCGATCAATACATCAGTGAAATCATATATATGAGTAGTTTTATCGATCAACTCCATTCTCTAAACCGCAGTTACTCCATACTAGACAAATACCACTCAAAACGTTCGAGACCTGCTAGCTTGCTAAATGAACTCACATCGATACGATTTTTGTATTAAACGTACTTCAATTTCAATCGCAATACTTCTAGTGTATAATAAGTGACAACAGTTCTTCACAATGTTCTTACCTGACAAAAGAAACAGCCAAGTTATTGTATTACTAAGATTGATTAGAATATATTGACTGGTTATGAATGAAGACGACAAGTTTCAGAGTCAAAGTCGCACGGCGATATCGGTGCTGGCCTATACCAGCCTCGGTACGAAGTGAGCATGTTAATATTATGCTTATGTCATAAGTGCCTGTAATATATTCAAGAGAGCATCCCGTCCATCAATTCATTTGAACCGCGGATGTTAATTTTTGAAACATCTGCGCTTTGATTAAATAAGCCATCGAAACAAAACAAGTTTTTATTCTTTGTCACTTTTTTAAAAAATTTCAATTTCCCATCAGGTTATCGGACCTTATCGCCCTTTCAAAACAAAAATAATATTATTTTTCAAATATTTGGTCTTAACGTTTGCAAAATTGTCCCAAATACATTCATATGAATGTTTAAATTAAGTATATGGTAAGATAAGCTTCGCTATCAGTCAGAAGTTGATCAGTTCAGAYGCGTGGTGTAAATTTTGCGGGTTCAGTTCGGGTCAAAACATCAAATTGCTTCGTCACTGTAAAAGCACACCTGTATGACCCTGTATAATTTATCGATATTTTCGAAGACTTCGAAGTCCGCGCGTGCACTTCAACGGTGCTGCTGATTCCATAAGTCGGTACCAGTTCGAATACTAGTACGACTTATGGAATCATTCTATTCAACGGTGATGATATAATTATTTTTGCATGGAATCCAGTTTTCTTTAGCTTGTTGTCTGACAAGTGAATTTTCAGTGGCGGATCCGGACAGGTTTACTGGTTCTATTAAAAAAAACGTGACTCCATCCGAATAAATGTATATGAATTTATAATATAAAAAAATAAAAAAGCGTCCTACAAAGAATTTTTATCTAGCTCATGTTTCTGAATTATAGTCGACATTGGCGGCTTGTACCTATTATGAGAAACAAAGAGAAAAGAAAACGTGAAATTGAAATRRAGCCCCCCTTTTGAGTGAATCGTGGATCCTGAAATATCAACAAATTTATAGTTTATTTAGTTTCAGTTTATTTAAAAACCAATAAAAATTTATATCTAATTTTCATGTTAGTTTGTTTCCTTTTTTTCAGGTTGAAATAAGGTCTATCTGAAGAGATTGTAAGAAATGATGGATGTCCAAAACTGTTACACAGTCGACACTTGTCATTCATAACGGGCGGTGGTCACTCACTGAGAGAAAGGTACGAGGTACCCAGGATCAAAAAGTGCCTATGTTTCTGATTCTTTCTGATTCTCTGTGAGCCGATTCTATATAAAGTAAATAGTCGAATGGTGAAATATTCCTGCATTTCAGTGTTGCGTCTTTGAGTTATTAAGGTTCAATCTTACAATATGCTAATGATAATGACGTCAAGGAAGGCTTCATTAGATATACGAACTTCGCGGGAGCCGCTTAAAAATGGTTATCTATCGTATGCAATGTAGGGAATAACCATATTACCAGATGGTGTTTTGATCGACTGTTTCAAAGTTCGTATATTCAATGAAGCCTCCCTTGACGTCATTATCATTGGCATATTGAAAGATTGAACCTTTAAAACTCAAAGACGAACAATGAAATGCAGAAATATTTCACCGTTCAATTTGATTTACTTTATATAAAATCAGCTCACAGAGAATCAGAAAATTTTTTGTCAGGCGTCATAGGCACTTTAATCGAGTTCTCAGCGCCATCTTGAAAGGTAACCAAGCCTGTGCATAAAAGTTAGACAGAGAACYGGTTGAGCCAGCATTTGATCAGGTCTAGGACAATTATTAACATGATTCTATTATTATTATTGCAAGCTCAACCACTGTTTTTCGTCCCTGGGAACTCTAAGATGTATTATAAGGAGTGGCTGTTCGATACTATTTTKCTCCGTTTACTTTTATCACGAGATTTGTCCATCCCAACAAACATTCCAACATCCTAGCCCTTGAAAAAACAATTGAGCAACGCAGTGCTGTAAGATCACAATCCATCACACTCTAACAATTTTGAGTAATGGCGTTGGAATAGACAAAACGCGCATGATTCTATTCCTGGTTGTTCGAAATCTTCATGCATACCATTTACATTTTTATCTTATATTATTCAAAGGTTCAATTCTGTAGAAGAATTGAAGACTTCATAGGATTAGTGCGACTGGGAAAGTAACAGGAAACAGGGACATAAAATCAAGTGAAAAAGTCCGCCGAGGGAGAGTGGCACATCTCTTTCACCACATTTGCCTGCATTATGGACGCTTACAGCTTGTCAAATATCWCATTCAAACGTCCCTGATCAAAGAAGTGCCCAAATCATATTGCAAAGAGGCAGAMCCATTTGTTGTGATATATCCCATAGCGTCCATTACCGGCTTACAGTGCTTCTCTATTACTCTAATCAATTCGATCGGCGCTTCTGTACGCCATCTTGTCATGGAATATGTAGAGTTCCTCGCAATAGAGTATCTCCTTTCTACATTTTCTATGGCAGAATTATTTGAGTGCATATGATGGTAAAGCCAATTATTTAAGTTTACTGGTTCTTGGAGCCCAACAAATTCAAATAACTTCCTGGTGGTGTTTCCAGTGCGCATGATMAGGTCCTCATACCGGAGCAAAAGCACGTGACCTTGGAGCGATTTCGGTGGATTTTTTACGAACCCAATGTTCTGGTCCATCTGTGAGCACATTCTTTTGACGTACCACCTAAATCGGTCAGTGGTTAATTCATAAGGRACTAATGTTGATCCTATGAAACGTGCAATCCAACCAGACTGATACATCGATAAGACAAAAGCACGGGGATCGCGAACAAGGTATAAAATTTTGTTGTCAAAATCTTGATTTTGTATGAAACCTTGGAAATTTTCAAATGTTCTTCCTGGAAGCCTATGTTCAAGAAGCTTGACCACTTTTACTGTGTAATTCCGACAAACGCTATTTAACGGATTTGCGTAAAGACTTCCACATTTCTTTWGAGAAAGTACTTCGCTTGGGGAAAGGTTTTCCGCGCCTTTGGAGCAAAATGGTGGAGACTTCAAAACGCGGCTGGACATACGGAAGTGACTTGGTCTTGAGAGATATTCCAGGTAAACCGAGTTTGTGAAATTGCAGTTGAACACTTGACGAAGGAATCGCGTGGCTATGGTTTGGTATTGTTCAGTGTTGTTCCCAACAAATGTATCAATATTTTCGACTCTCTCGATCGTCAGAAGTGGCTCATACATAAAAAACACATGAGGATCTTGATTAAAGATTTGACCGACAAAAGACGACCCACTTCGTCCTTGGCTAACGACCATCAAATTTACAGGTTTCTTCGGCAATTTTTGAAGCTTCTTGATAAATTGAATTTCACCATTTTTCTGGAAGTTTYGTTTGGGTTGTTTTGGAGGCAAGTGGAATTCCAAGTTGTGGTTGAATATCTTATTCTTGCTAATGGTGAGATATACAGGAGGYCTGAATCCCTCGTTAGCTTGTCTGATCTTTGCCACGTTAGTCAACATTTCGCAGCATATATGATACTGCCAGCAATAATTTAGCACCAAGCAAACCACTCCGACTACTACAATAACAATACTGCGATTACGAACGTTGAGAACCATCTCCAGAAWTTTTTTCACCAAAGTATATATCCTTCAAGTAGCCTTTGTTTCTTGAACAATGAATACCGTAGCGTCGTAAATGTTTGAATGCCACGCATTCTTGGGYTAAGAAGATCGTCAAAACTCTTTTCCTCTCCGCTAGACCGTTAGTCGTACGAGCTGTAAACAAAAAGCATGTCATGTCAGAAGAAAGCTGAGTTTGCGTTATACCTAGAATTAACATGTGAATTAAAACACTCCCTAATTTGATAGTTATAGCATTCTTTATATTCGCGTTTTACAAAGGGAAATCCGAACAAGATGGGAGGAAATAATGTATTCAAATTCGAACTCTTGGATTGAAATTTCGTTATAGCGTGAACACTGTCTGTGGCTCATTAGAAGTCTAAGAATTTTCTAAGAAAGTCTAAGAATCCCTCAACATGTAAAGTTAGCGGCATGAACATGAAATAAAAAACTGAGGAAGATTAAAAAAAAAGAAGTTAATTAATCAATAGGACAATAGCCTTCGCTACMTAAACATAAAACGYTTTCTTTAAATCTAATCACCACCTTGAGTAAKGTGAAACAAAACAAAAGAATGATGATCGATCAATAATCACAAATCCCCCTACATAATCATATCAAACTCTCCTTTTGTACTTACTTAACGTTTAAAGAAACTATAGCTAAGGGGGAAATATAAAAAATTAATTCAATATTGTGACATATTCTCATGTCGACGAACAATACATTAAAAACATCCAATTTGTAAAAAGTCACAGTAAAATCAGGCCAAAATACTGAGAATTAGAAATCTCTATTCAACATAACGCCTTGGTATATATTGATCAACAYCGACACATTATTTTTACCTTGGTTAATAAACTGTGGGATTCTAATCACGGTTGACCAGTTTGTATCATATTATTGCTCTTATTAACCTCATAAAAACTGACAAAACTGACAATTTACGTACAGACTCAGGATCACATAGAACTAAAGATTACCTTCAACATCCTTTTATCGATTTCAGTGTATTCTCACCTTAGCCCAAGTATCGCRGCATTAGAAGAAAACTAGGCATAAAAACGCTATGTTTTTCCAAAGTATTTCTCCTTGTGAGGTCCATTCAGTTATTATATATTTAAAAGGCATTGGAACAGGCTTGAAAGCAGCAGGTTRGTGGGTGTGTAAACATTGCAGGTTAYACTTTCAAGCACAGGGATCCCGATGGGAGATTAAACAGGTGGCAGTAGGTTAGAGCAGAGGTGACGGGTTGCACAGGTGGTAAGGGTAACACAGGAAGCCTTGAAACATTGTATCCTCCTCCGCAGGCAGTCTCCTCCGAAGGCAACTTTTTTTTCCTTCTTTGGGCTTCCTTTGTAACGGTCATCTTGGGCGTTAGGGACTATAGTGCATTCTCCCTCTTTTGACTCCCAAAAAAGACAGGAAGCCCGTGATTCTTAGTGATGGCTGCGGAGGAGKCTACTCTGCTGAGGTATCTTGCTTTTTCACTTTCTATACTAGAAACTGATATTTGGTTTTTCAGCCTCGTTATATTACTTTAAATTCCACTCTCCTACTGATCTAACACAGGAAGCTGACATTTTTAGAAAGGAAAGAGACACCTGYGAAGGGGGCTAATGTGAATGCAAAATACAGGTAATTATGAAACAGGAAGCCCAAAACTTGAAAAGGTGTTGTTTGGGMGAATTTCTTAGTAACTTATGCAAATGCAAAAATATACAATGCAAAAATCTAAAAGCCGGGAATAGTCTAGATTGCGTTACACATGACCCAAACTAAACACGGCTGCGAGGAGACTAAAASCAAAACAACAAATTAAAGGGACACTGTCAATGGCACACRWGTGCGGGTAAACTTGAAAACATTAGGCGCAACATAAATCAGCTCGTAAACGTAAACAGATCTAGAATATTCCAAAGTGTGTCAAAAGCACCACAAAATGATTTACCTCGAAGGTAATACTTTCAAAGTCCGTTAGAGGTGAGACTGTTACCGCGCATGTCATCCATTGACAGTGTCCCTTTAAGTTATTACAAATAAAAATTGCAAATATAATTACCGTAGCTGAAGCAAATCCTCAGTGTTCTTTCATTCTGCAGTCTTAGCTTGCTTTTCTGGTGGCTCTGATATTTCTAAAAGAAATTCAATAATGTTGTCAGAATGAATAGAGAGACATTTAGATAAAAATACAGTAAACCTTGCTCCTTCAATATGCAAGCATTTTTAAAAAGCTGTCCATCTTTTGTTACTTAGTGATACCATTTTGGGATCTTACCATGTTGATGTTCAAATTGCTCAGCACTTTCATGTGCAACAGTTCCTGGAAGTCTAAATGATATACACATCATTGCTTTCTTAGGTGCGACATCCCTGACATAATAAACACTGCAGTCACTTGGTAATTCAACACCTAAGACTTCTTCAGCTTGTAGCTTCACATCTTCCTTGGGATTGTCTGCTTTGGAAAAGCAATAGCAATGGATCATGGGAAGGATTAGGGTGTCCTTTGATGGCAGGCTTTGGTGGTTAGCAAGTAGTCCTCTAAATACGTCAAGAAACTGTATGGCACTGGCAGGTAGATTCATGACAACATGGTCAAAGAGCTTTACTGCTGAAGGAGAATTATGTTCAAGTTTGGTCACAAAGCTTTTTATGAATGCTCTCCCATCCATRTTATAAGCCACACATTGTTTTCCAACTTTATTCAGTTTTATATTCTTGATGAGCGCATTGTAGGAGTTAGGATTTAAATCATTAGCATGAACAATACATCCTTGCTTTGCTGCTGGGATYGCAAATGGACCAACTCCAGCAAACATGTCGCAGACAATATCTCCCTTAGAAAATGTATCAACTAGACGTTTATGCTCYGTTTGAAGACGAGAGTTCCAGTAAACTTTAGAGAAATCAAACTCAAAGATACAGCCTCCTTCTTTGACTGTTGCCTGCATGTCGTTTTCTCCTGCAATGAGCTCCATTTTAAAGAATCTGAAGGTAGCGTCAATGCTGTTAGTTTTGTTGACAACAGTTCTRATTTGTGGGCTGTTTTTATCAAGAAGAACTTGCCCTAAAAAGAAAACAAATAATTAAGCTTATACTTTGCCATTGAAAATGAAGTACACAGGAAGTCCAAAACTTACCAATAACAATCTTATATTTCAGTTGATTGTCCCTAAGGTTTATATGTGCAATATGACCTATAGTYTCAAAGGCACTAGGTACTTCTGTGATTTCCAGCGGCAAAATGGCCCTGAGAACCTGTTCTGTCGTCCAAAAATCRTAAGTGAGAGCTAAAGAGTGAACAGTGTTTGTAGCATCTWGCTCGGCAAGAAAAGTCTTCTCCTGTTCATYTARAACAACTCCTGGGCGCAGTAACAGCAGCTTCTTTCTCTTATCGTCACCATCTGCGATAATATTTTTCAGTCGTGGTTGGTTAAGAAGCGGTCTGCGAAAGTTTCTCAAGAACGCTGAACACWGTTTSGCTTCAATTCGAAGAGCCGGGACTTCAATAACTTTGCGAAAAAGATCGCGATTCAAAGTTGTGCTCTCACGAACACAATCTGGAGGAGTAAGAAGTTTATAAAATTCACTATGTTCCATAATAAGTTTCTTTTTGATGCCAATTTTCAGAAATTCATAACATTCTCCACGCCGTCCACCATTTTGAAAATGAGCCAGCAGTACAAATGTTGACCAGCAGAAATTTTATTTCGGGCTCCCTGTGGAATAATACCGCGAGCATATGATTCAGCGGTAGTAATAAAAACATGGACGTGTAGTATGTGAATTATTTTTTAGTTTATATYATTTTGTTTCAATTTTAAATATTGTGCCTTTTTAAAAAGAACATATTTCATGGCCTGTTCGGTAAATATATTTTCATGCGTCCAAGATATCAATAGAGTACTTTCAGCCCTTTCAGAGCAAACGTCAAAGGGAGAAAAAGATGATGACCCGACAAAAAGCGAAGGTAACTTAAGCTTACATATCAAAAAGCTTAATGCTTATAAAATTTCACATTAACAATGCGTATCATTCGTCTTTATTTTATTGTAGATGGATGGGAGTCTCACACAGATACTTGGGATTGGAATGTAAGTTTTTTTTAAGCGTTTTAAAACGTTTAACGAAAAATATTGCTTTAAGCTTGTTCCAAAAGGAATTTGTACTATAAGCTTACTTGTAAATAAGGTTAATTCTAACTATGTATGACCAATATTTTCAGGATGATTCAGACACCGTGTCACCACTGTGGCTACAAGACTGCTGTATTTCTCTTTCTCCAGCAAATGATAACTTAGCAATTGCAAAAGATGACAAAGCTGTGTTTTTGTCAAGTAAGTTTTACTCGTAAGGCTCAGCTTGAGTTTCAGTGTCATCTTGAAAGGTTTACATATACAGTCAATTCCATTAATGTTGTTCAGTTTAAGACATCAAGACAGCAACAAAGTCATATGCATATGTCATACTATTGCAAGAATATTCAACAGAAAGTTGCAAGACTTCAATGCAATATCTGGATATTTTAATTATTTAATTGCTTCCTGAAAAAAAACCCTTCTTTTCAAATGACTTTGTTGTTGTTTTTATGTCTTGACAAGTGATCGTTGAAAATGGACTGTATATATCATGGCAAGTCCAACTGCTGACTCAATATAAATGCTGGTCTACCCTTAAGATGGCATTAGGCACTGTAAGAGGAGTTGTAAAACATAAACAAACTTATATGTTATTTATCTAACCAAAGAACTCAATTTTGTCATTGTTATCTCATTGCTATTGACATAATTTTTCAGAAATTTATTACAAATATTTTATTGTCATTTAAGGCAAATGGGACAAATATGAAAATGTCGCACCGAAGAACAAATATGAAATTTCATGGAGTGGCAGTCTTGCTGCAGAGGAAGGGTATGTACAAAAAAAAAATCAACAACAACAACAAAAAACAAAACAAAAAAAAACAACAACAACAGCAAACAAACAAGCAAAAATAAGTAGAAATTTATTTCCTTCCAAGGAAGAAAATTTGATGCTGTCATAGGACACACCTTCACAGCTGAACAAAAACAAATGAAAATAGCATTATTATACATGTATGAGTAACATAATTTTTAATTCTTCATTACAGAGAGCACATAACTGATGTTCTTTGTATACCAGTGGCCTCCCAACATAGGTAGACATTAAACTGCAAACTTACATTAGTTTTTTGATTATTATTTTGACCAACAAGAAATAGTTTAATTTGTAACATCTTTCATATTGTCAACCCAATGTTAATAGGAGCTCTCAAGGCAGTCCAGACTGGACTTGTATTGTAGCTGGGTTCTCGTCAGGATACATGAGAATCTATCTTCAGGTTGGTTGTGTTGTATAGAAAACGAATGTATAGGACCACAATTTATATCCATTTTTTKGTCATTTTGGACAACCCATTGGAAAATACTGGATCTTCCCCTGTCAATCATGGCTCTTATTTGGGTGTTCTAAAGTAGTCTTGGCCWTTGCTGATTCTTTCTAAATTTTAACAGAATGGATCATTGATATTTTCMCAACTGCTTCATGAAGACAAAGTCATTAGGCTAAAATGTCGCACATGGGAACCCCAYAGGGATTATGGTAATTCAGAACATGTAAGTGAGTTAGCATATAATGTGTACCTTTACAGCTGCTTTGTAAAGGGTTAGACTATGACCCATGATTGAGCCTGTGATTTGTTAAAAAGCAAAGTTAATTAGCTGTGATCCGTGAAAACCATCCCTGTTATTTGTCTGCTTTGTCACACTTTTTTGATACTGATCAGACTTCATGTATACACCTACTTGCAGAAACGTTGTCATAGAAAATAGAACATTCGAATTTAGTAAAAAGGAATAAATTAAGACAAAACAAAAGAAAGCGTTCAGCCTCAGTGACCTTCTTTTGTCTTTATAATTTATTTCTTTTTACTAAAATACAAATGTCCTATTTTTTTATGACAACGTTTTCGCAAGTAGGTGTATATTGAATGTTTTTTAGGTTGAAGAGCTTGCTATTCTATATCCCACGGCACTAGTCATTATTGATGGATTTAGTCTTTACCAGTCTTTAAGAGCATGTAGAAACCAGCTCGCTAAAGGTATTTAACATTGAAGAGGGATAAGTACATGTAATACTGAATGATTTCCTTTTAAAAAATATTTCTTTTTATCAAAATATTTTCTTTTTTTTTTGAAGCTTAGATAGCAATTAACTTATGTTACTTGCAATATAAACAGAAACAACAGYGCCAAAAACAATCATTCTAGAAAGGGAATATTTAAGCAAAAGAAAAAAACAAACAAAGTAATTGAACATGGATGAATTTTAGAAAAACTCCAGTACTACTGGATACTGGGTTATAGTTTCCTTCTCAGGATTTATTGTGCCTCACAAAAGACAGAAGACACAGAATGTAGGCCTTTCATTTATATGTTTTTGATTAGTGTTTTATCTTGTTATTTTAAGCTCAAGCAAGTGGTCTCTTTGACCATGCAAATCCTCCAYYATTAGCATACAAGAAATGGAGATTTGATGGGCAGAAGCAAATCCTTGATATTGCTAGTTGTGGTAGGTATTTAGGAACAAATCCAGGGTGTTGTCCTTAGAGGCACCACGTCCTTTGTAGGAATCCATTATCAGAATATTAATTGCAGATGTCCATTCACGGAACGATTCAACTAGCCAAACTGGAATTTCGACAGACCTAAAAATGCTTTCTTTAGCATAACAGTGTTATCTTTTTTTAAAAAAAGACTTAAAAGTCTTTTTAATACCAGGTCTAACAGTTATTTTAAGTTTTATAAATTTTTATAGTATAAAGCCAAGAAATAACCCCCAAATTCATAATCTTAAACATTTTATAGAGAGTTTTGTAAATTTTTTTTGTAATTTTCTATTATCTCATAAATATAAWATTTCTATCAAGGTGTGGTCACTCCAAACCTGTTCGACCAGTTACAAACAGCTTCATTTATCGGTGGATACAATGCAACGATACGGGGTTCTGCACCAGCTATGTCACATTATGTCACGTCAGGGGCTGATCCGTTTATTGCTGTCTATTCTGCCATAGAGGTAAATCATTACTCAATACATTAAGCAATGTGATATGATTAAGATTCGCATTTGTGGGTTTTCCAGGGAAGCAGCCCTCCTCTAATATCTGACGTTGCTATAGCAGTGGCCAGTAAGCTTACTTCAGCTGTATTATCAAGACTATCTGCAGCAGGGTACGATGTTCTCCAAATTAAATATGATTTCTTTTGATATGTCGGTTAATTTACCGTTATGGATTTTTTGTTTGTAGTGGCTGGCTTGGATGGGGAAGTACACCGACTCAGACAACAGAAGCCAACAAGCCGCCAAAACCCAAGGTAGAAAAAGGCACCAAGTTACCAGCAAGGTATGATTAAAAGAAGTAGAGAACACTCATACTTAAATGATTGGTTAATCCATGTTTGACCAAATACAATGGTATTGTATACCTGACTATTTGACCATGATAAGATATGTAATCACGATATTTGTAAAGCGTTGTTCAAGTCTTTTCTAAGAATTGCGCGAAAAGAAATCTCTTTTACTGTAGTTGTGTTTTGYGACTTTTCTTTTTATCAACCTTTTTGCTTTATCACAAAGGTATGGCCTACCAGACTACCGACGGTTAGGTAATAGTATCAACTTATCACCCAATGGCAAGCTTGCTGTTACTACTGACGAATTTGGCCGCGTTTTGCTGMTGGATATTAAGAAAGGAATCGCAGTGCGTATGTGGAAAGGTACGATACTTCACGGCGTAAGGAATACGGTAGTCAATTGTTTGCGCGGTTTGTTAAGTTGGTAGTTGGAAGGGTAATTTCTTTGCGTATCGGCTTGCTCAGCGACCTTGCTCGCAACATKAGCATCGCAACAATGACCCGCAGCTCGCAAAAGATTCAGCTTTTCTCTGCAGCACCTTAACAGAAATATCAGTGTAACAAATCCGAAATTGTATTATCTGAGSGCGTTAACAAATACACCATACACTTACAGCCATACAAGAGCTTTATATGTATTCATCTTGATTCGGCACAACCCTGTTTTGCTGAGGACGCAGTTGCCTCTTTTTTCTAGGATATCGTGATGCTGAATGTGGTTGGGTAATAGTCGATGAAGACCATGATCATGACGGTGATAGCCATTCGCACCAAGCCCACAGAACAGCACTATTTCTAGTCATTTATGCTGCAAAAAGAGGCATTTTAGAGGTAAATGTGTGTGTAATCCACCATGTTTTGAGAATTTTTCATGCTGTCTCAAAACTTCCTTTGAAAACTACACCGTTCTATGTTGTAAGTGAGCACACATTGTGTCAATAGAGATGGAATTATTTTGATTTACAAATAGTAGTATAAAGGTTTTCAGACTAGATGTAATTGTTAATCGTCACATGAGAAAATAATGACTATGATGACGACAATGATGATGTTGATGCTGATGGTGATGATATTGATGATGATGGTGATAACGATGATGCTGTTGATAATAAATATGATTTTGATGTTGATGTTGATGATAATCAAAATGATGATCATCATCATCATTGTCTCATGATATTTGTCATTTAAGATCTGGAGAACTGAGCAGGGTCCACGTGTTGCTGCTTTTAACGTCGGGAAAGATTGCAGGTACAGATACATATTATCCATAGCCAAAGCTCAACAATGTCACCTTGTACCCGCTTGGGCCAAATAACGAAKGCTTTCCATAATTTTATATACACGYGCGGGGTTGAGGACATATTATATATGTAAAATCTTGCAKTCTYGATAAAGGCCCGTTTACACTTGCGATTTTTRCWGAGCAAAAATGKTCGCGCRACCATCGCCTGAGTTTCGAACATGYTTGTAARTTGGCTGCAACTTCGCGGCGATTTTTCAATCGCAGGGCATTTTACACGTACGATTTGAGTTGCGCGATAGCAAAGTGGCGRTAATCGTGATGCAAAAATCGCWAGTGTAAACGGGCCAAACGTTTGCAATTRTTCATTTATAGGCTGTTATATGCYGGCCATGGAATYCTAGGAGTAGGTCATGTATATCGACAAAGCCAGTCTCCACCGCAGCACACCTTAAACTGTACCCTTATTCATGGTGATGGTACTTTGAAGACGTTTGCAGTACCATTTCACACTGCTTTGAGGTAATATAGGAGCGACGCAATATTTATCAGGAGGGGGTTGAGTAATAATGGCCATGATTCTAATTTCTGTTGCTGTTTTCTCTTCAGTGATAAGCACAGTAAAAGGATGAGAGACTTGCATTTGCTAAAGAAACTGACTGCATTTCTTGAAAACATTAAATCAGATGATCAAGGTAAACAATGAGTGCTTTAGTTCTSTRTCATCGTSGATTTTCTATTTTCCAAWTTTCCCAATGAATGATAAGCCKAATGTACGTGGACGACAACAACGACAGARACATAAACGTAATGGTAYGGAAGGAACGGCTRATGATYCCAATAGTGTTTGGTTCCATTGCTGAGATCATCAACTCCGTCTCCCGTACCGATACTTTTCCGTCGGATTGGTGGAAGATTGCTGTTACCACGAGGAACCATCCAGCAACTGACCGTTATCACTAATAAACTTTAATTTGAAAGTCTCCTAGAAGAATGCTGCGAAACAATTTTTTATTATAATATGTTATAATATTATATTATATTATGTATAATATTATCATTCATCATTATCATCATCATTATTTTGGCAGTATGTACAATATGATACTAATAATAGAATATCAAGGCTATGAGTACTGTAGATGAGTACTGAATCCGACCTTGCATATCATTAATATTGATCGTTCACAGACGATTGTAATCAGACTGTGGACAATGCAGACAAGCAACTACAAGTCATCTTGGTTGATATTCAGACACCYCAGCTACAACGACGAGGATTGCAATGTRTACTGGGAACTGTTGGGTTACCTGGATCTGTAATGTTAAAGTCTGTTAATGTAATCATCGAAGGAATTAATAAACGAGGTAAGAAGTATGAATTTAAATTAAAGCCTCCTCCGTAGGCAACTCTTTCATTTCTAAATCCTCCGGCGGAGGAGAGTATTAGACTCGTTTCTTGAATAGCCACCATCTGACCCGAAACAGTGCTTAAAAGACAGCAATCAGAGACTGCCGACTTATAGAACTCAAGCTAAAGAATTTAATTGCAATAATCGTCTGGTGCACATTTGTCRTTATTTTCATGTATTTTTTCATATTCAGACACAATCTCACCCGGAATTGAAGAAAGAGAAGATGACCACGAAGATACGGAAAGCTTGTTGAAGTTTTGCAGAATTCAAAAGAATTTGCTTCAGACTCATGCTAGCTTAGTGGAAATCTTACAARATGATAATGACAGTATGATAGGCGATGACGAGACGCAAAAGAACCAGAACTTGGTAATTATAATTTAAACCAAAACTTGATCATTACAATTTCTATTGATAGAAAGGACGAGCAACAACTCTTTGTTTCTTGGCTTTTTGACTGAAAACCGCTGTACAAGCGAACGTTATAATAGTGAGAAAACAGATGAGAAAGAAAAATGGGAATATAGATAAAGAGTTTGTGAGGAAGACAATGTTCTCTCCTTCGCCGCCAGTCCTTTTTGACAGAAAGCCAGGAAAAAACAGACTAGAAACAACTTAGGTCGTTACAAGTCTCAGTAGAAATCTTAAGAAAATATGACAAATTCCTAGTATATGGCTTTTCTTTGTTTTATTTAGTTTTCCTCTGTTTAAAAAAAAGTCTGAATCGTATTTTTGAACTTAAATACAGGCATTGGCACAGCTRTTGGGAGTAACCAAATCAGAAKCTACAGACATTKTAGATCTGCTTGATGACCATCTTAAAAGTCAACCTGAAAAAYCCATCACGTCAAATGTCGAGGYCTCCTCCGCTGAAATGACTGTCAATTTGTTTTTGGGGTGTTTTGAGGCATCATCCGCTGACCAGMAAAGACAGCAGTCAGTTGATAAGGAAGAACCAAGTTCGTCGTGTTCATCTAGTRCTGATTATGTTTGTTTGAAGAAGGCGTTGTCRRCAGAGATGAAACTTAGATTAGGTGGGTTYAGGCAAGSCAACTTTTGAGGAAGAGTACTCGGATTTTTTKSSTYCMAA